CCCACAGCCAAATCCCTTTAGCTGCCTTCACTAGAGCAGAGTCCAGTCCAGCCTCAACCCTTCATCTAGGCAAGGTCTCTGTGTCATTCCTCCATCGCTCAGTCCATCCTCATTCTCCATGATCTGCTTTATTCACACTCTCACACAACCCTCCCAGGTCAACAGAGTCTCTTGGTTGCTCATTCACGCCCGGAACAAAGCAGAAGACACCCAGACACACGGCAGCCGTCACATTGCGGTTTATGAGCACACGTAATGTTAATAACAGACAGCCGGATGACTTTCTACAGTAGCTGAAAGACACATGCAGTGCTGGATGAGATAACGAGACTCTACAAACTCTTAACGACTTGCCTAACAATCAGAGAAAGGAGGAAGCATTTTTTGTGAAGGAAAATTAGTTATGAAGCTAATCAATCAAGCAATCAAGCCTGCATCCACAACGCTTTGAACAATTAGAGAGCTGCGCTCAAAAATCAATACCTCCGCTTTCAAAGGAAGATGCTTGGAATAGTTATCAGTCCCAACTAGTAGTTACTAGACTCAACAAAACCAATACAAGCCGTTCTGTCTATATTGCTGTCTGTCTGTTCATTAACATGCATGCAGAAATAAAGTATTTTCATCTTTCATAATTAAGTTCATTATTGAAAAATGTCAGTCTAAAACATTTTGCCAGAAATCACCCCTTCATACACTACTGTTCACATGTTTAAGGTCAGTAAGATTTTTTTTTAAAGAATTAATACTTTTATTCAGCAAGAACACATGAAATTGATCAAAATTGACAGTAAAGATTTTTACATTGTTAAACAAAATTTCTATTCAAAACTCAGCTTTGTCATCATAATATTTTATATTGCAAAAATCTATTAAAATGCATTAAACAAATTAAACTGTTATTTTGTTATTACATTTATTTAAATGCAGCATTGGTGATCATAAGAGACTTTTTTTTTTAAAACATTAAAAAAAAAAATGTAAAAAAATCTTACAGACCCCAAATTTTTGAATGATAGGGCATATATAAATTTTGTCAGTTCATCTGAGTCGCACTTAAAATCTTTATCTAACCATCCTCATTTTGAGAAAATCTGGTATGACTTTTCCACATAAAAAAAAATTATTTATCAAAATGTCAATGCTTTTCCATATAAAAAAAAGCAAAAAAAAACAAAAACATTTGGTTACCATTAACTGTTTCTACACGTGTTCTTCA